ACGTAATTCCGTTTCCGAGTTTGCAGGTGGCTTAATTTTTGCCGTAACACGTCTGTCGTTGCGCGCGCTTCGCTTCGGTGCGTCCCGCGGAGATACGGCACGGATTTTTCTCGTTGCTGATTTTAATAACAGATTGCTACTGGAGGCAAGGGAGGAAAACGCAGGGATGTTAGCACCGGAACCCGAGGGACAAGGAAAGGAAGGTGAAAGAGAGAGAAGGATCGCGTCTGAGTCACTGCTTATACGTGACTACGGCGACGACGCCGCCGTCGCCGTCGCCGCCGCCACCGCCGCCACTACCTCTGCTACTCCTTTTGCCACCCCCGATATAACCCTCCCCTCCCCTGTGCCGCATTCTCTGCAATGTTTCGCCGCCGGTACATTCCGTACAAATGCGATACCTATACTCACCTACACGAACGGCGGACACGTTCGAATAAATTAAAACGATTCTTTCCGTGACCTGCAACCTCATTTCGCTCTCCGTCTGACGGAGGGCATCTTCGGCGACGGTAAGAGCGATAAATAAAATTAGCAGGAGCCGTGATGGATTGTACCCATGCTTCTGTACTACGTGTACTTGCGTGTGAATAGTTTATCGCGTCCCGTTTATTGCAAACAGATCGGGCTATTTATCGCGCTAGTAGCCTTACAAACGAAATGTATTGTGATAAACAACAGCTGTCTCTTCGTGAAAAATGTATATAAATATAAGAGTGTATATATATATACGTATATTAATAAAATATGTATAATAAATTTTATATATAATATATATATGTAACGGTAACAATTCGAAAATACAGCGAAATAGATTATTTGTTTATACGAACTGTTGTTACTGTTCACCAATGCTGAATCCATTTTTGAAGCACGTTTCACATATTAAAAAAGTTACGTTCTGTTCAATAGAAATGAATATTTGCACAGTTGCTTTTGTATCTTTAATTAGTGAACTTGAAAAATAAAATAATTCGAATAAAAATAAATGTGTGAAGCTAAATATAACAAAAAATTAAGTTTTTTAAACATTATCTCGATTTAATCTCGCTGAAAATTCTTCGGCGCACAAGCAAACTCAATTAGAGTTATTTGGTACGTTGTGACCAAATTGGAAAAAAAATTGAAAAAAATCAAAGGTTGAACGTTTCTGGAACTTTATTCAAAAATTCTAGTTTACACACCCGCGTTTCTTAATGGAAATTTATGCAGAACGCGCTATACGTAATTTCAGCTTTCTCCCCCTCATCAACAAGTCCGTCTGTCCGAGTCGGAAATGGTGACTTTATCATCCTAAATTCGCGCTAACTAATGAGAGACGAAAATTATATTCTTTAGCAGGACGTTATTTTGCTGGAAATAATATTCTTTGACGAGATACGTATATCGTTTCGCATACTCAAAAATTAAAATGCATACGTAAAAGTAAGCTCTGCATCATTATAATTATCATAAAGGACTGGTTGAATTCAAAATTGTCAGAAGTACTGACAAAATATATAATGCAAAATATAAATATTTCTTCAGCAAACGATAAAAATACAAAGATTAAAAAGTCAAAATTTTTAAATAATAAAGTTATTGTCGGATGTAAAAATTAAAAACGTCGATAATATTTGTAAGCGTGTCATAATTTTGTAAGTTTACGGGTACAATGCGCGTGGATAAAATATCTAAATATAAGCATATATGTACGTCCCCAAATATCAACACTTGCAGAATATTAATAATGGTACCAACGATACAATGTTTGCTCTTCTGTTAACTGTATTAATGGATGCAACAAGGGAGTTCAATTGTGTTTGCTGAAATTACATTTGCCGGCAAACAATTGTGATACTGCGATCGCATTGGCGTTCCACGTATTCGAGGATGAAAATATTTCGCGAGACGTTTGCAGGCGTGGGTAACAATATGACGATAGCTTTATAATTATCGTATTACAATATTGTCACGTTGTGTACGTCACGTTGCCGACGCAAGTTACGAGGGAGAAACAGCGGCAACAGCAGGCGGGGCAAGATGAAAAGCGTATATAACAGTTTTTCAGGCCGTAAACTTGTAATGTCATCAGACCAAGGATCGACGGTAGATGGTTGTAATCTGTCTAACCATTTAATTAATCTCCGCTTGAACACGTAAAAACGCGCCAAGTGTTACCGCTGGTCTCCCAGCTGCAACACTTGTATTTTAAAAATGTGTCACCACGGTATCGTCTAGTAATCATCGCGAAAGTGCTATCGACTTCTATACATATTAGCGTGTAAATCGTAACGTACATGCTACTTGAAATATTTTTATACTGAAACAGTTCTATCAGAATTTACATCCCTCGGTAATATCGATGGTGAAACAAAAAAAAATTATACGGCTATTTAAAAAAAAAAGGAAAATTTCATATTGCAAGTAAAACGTAAAAATTCACCTTGCAAAATATTAACCTGGCATATACGATCGATTCCTCGTTACTACTGAAATTCGTGCCGATGTTATTGACCATTGGAATATTCTGCCGTTATACGCAAACAAGTTATAATATGAAATGGCCACGGGTCAATGAAAGAGCCAATATTAAAAGTGTTTCTTTTGAATGAATGAGAACGATTGAAACGAGAAATTGGATAAAACTGTGTTCTGTCGATGGAAACTATACGTTGCATTTCACAAAATACTATATATGAAATTTTACAGCATATTTTCAGATTTTGTAAATATTAGCTACTAATCTCGGAGCCGACTGTCGAAATAAAGCTAAATATTTAAAAGCAAAAGCGAAATGAGATATTAATCACTCTCGTACGTAATTATTCTTTATACAAATTTAGTAAATATGTGACTATTATGTGACTATAATGATGCAAATTGATTATCTTCTTTGCCAATTATTTCCTTTATATAACTATTCGTATTACTAATAAAAAAATATTATAAAAATTTTATTTTTAATATTCTATGATATATCAATTATATAGTTCAAATATTTAATTTGTATAAACTTATTCATGTCATGTCTAATTTTTTAAGAAAAATATAATGTGTTTGGAAGCAAATATTTTATATTTTGCTTCGCATAGTGTGGTTTAATTTCTTGACGATGACGATGAGATATACACAATCATGGACAAAACTATTGCATTATTTGGTAGTAATTTGACTCCAAAAGAGCCCAAGGGAATACTCGTTGACAAAAGGCTTTGCCAGTTACATGGTCGCAACAAACAGAATTAAAAGACGCCTAAAAGGATAATCTGTAGCATATCCGCGTCGAGAACCGCGACAAATACATCTGCTCTTTCTTCATAGCTCTCTCGAGTCTCAATCAAATCATAATTAGGACGTATCTCTTTCCGACACTGTCGAATTAATTAGTTTTAGTTTAATTATATGGATAAATCATCATTTCGTTTTCTCATCCGTTCTCATTCCCACAAGATCTCTCGTGTGCCGCTTCGGATTGGTTTAGACCTTACGTGGAAACTCGAGGGAGCTGTCTTAAGAATACGAAGATTATGTTTTGCATAAGCTCCGACAAACTTCCGCTCTCATCGCTCTACACTATCTCTTTGTAGTCGACTTAAAAGGCGGATGCAATTTTACTTTACGGATAATTAATAATTAAATATCGCGGAGCCCCGCGCTTTCAAAGGTAGCGCAATACGGCACAGGATTGTAACTATTCTTTTTTCATTCAGTATCATATAATTGGCGTTTCACTTTTTTTTTTTTTTATTATATTTATCCTCAGAAATATATTAAGAAATTAAAACGTGCATCTTGAGCGTTTTGATAACTTTTGCGTCTGTAATCGATCCCTGTAAGTCTCTGTGATCTTTACACGGATGCAAGGAAAAGTCTGTAGACACGAAGGAAGGCATAAAGGGCGATTCACTTCGAGGCACATCAACAGATACGTGAACGGTTCTACGGATACGGAAACGGAAGCAAACGAGTGCGAGTGTAGCGGTAAAGGAAACCATGTCATAGAGGAGCTACGAGGAGAAGAGGCACGTGCCCGGTATTTAAGAGAGGCAGTAACGTAACAATAGGCAAGTACAGGGGTGAAAACGGTAATGGTGTGTCGCGGTTCGCCCGAGCTTACTTTTATGTCTCACCAGGGAACCTCCGCCGTCTCTTTCTCTTCTCTTTCCCTCTGTATATCGTTCCCCTTGACACGCGTACTCACACATGATCGTGACTTTCAACACCCCTTTGGCTGCCTTTCTACCGTTGCTGTCTCTCATTCTGTCCCTGTTCTCTCTCTCTCTCTCTCTCTCTCTCTCTCTCTCTCTCTCTCTCTCTCTCTCTCTCTCGCTTTCGTTCACTTGCACGCTTATTTTAGCGCAACGGCAAGCAACCTAGAAGCGCGAGAGAGAGAGAGAGAGAGAGAGAGAGAGAGGTGAGAGACCCAGTAAAGCTCGCTTTGTCGTCGGTTTCCTTTCTATGTTATTAAATTGTATATGTTGAACCCCTTTCTCCAAGCAACGTACTATACCGACGCGTAGTGCAATGTCGCAGTTGCCACTTAGAGGCTACCTCACAGCTGCAGCCAGTCTATACCTTATTTGTCGGCAGGTACCTTTACTCTCCCGAGAAATCTGGTTTTCCGAAATCTGATTATGCGATCCCTTTCGGATCTTTCCTTTTTCATTTCTCTTTTTATGTCAATATCATAACTTTTGAACGAAGATATGTTTATGATATCATCGAAATGTATGATAAAATTATTTAAAATCAGTTTCTCTAAGCAAATCAATGTTTAATGGTTATCGTAATAAGCTTTGATAGATAAGTAAAAAGAAAATATTTACGCGAATTTATAAAAGATGAATAAATTTAGAAGAAGTCGCACAAGAAACGCTGTAGAAGAGACTGATGCCGATACATTGTGATCGTATTTTTTTAATAATAGTATAGTAATGATTTCTCTCCTAATAACGTAAGAATAATGGCATTAATCTTCGATAAATCATTGCAATTAAATAGACATAAAATATACTTACAATCGACTGATACTTTGATCTGTTTGCTAACTGTCGGTGGTATACCGTTGCTGGCGATGCATAAATATGCGCCCATATCCAATCTCGAAATCCGCGCCATTTCCAGCGTTTCACCCTCCCATTCTGCTACTGAAATCGCAACCGTTCAATATTCATTACTTGTTAATCGATTAAGTTAATTATTGTTCATTTTCACAGAACGGCATATAAATATTTTTTTTAAATGTATCCTGTTATAGGCGAGACTTTGTGTTGGTAGTTAAAACGCGCGATATCATATATTCCCTTTTAAAAATGTACAGGAATTTTGATTTTTTAATATTTTTAAAAGAGGATTAATAATAATAATAATAACTTTATTAAAGTGTAAATAACAAATAATGAGAAATGTGTTGATATACAAAATAATAAGGAATAGGAAAGTGCACTTTAAAAGGCATCAACATAATTCTGCCTTAAAGTCTAAGCCTATATAAAATAGTAGCATATATAATACGGTCGAAATAACAAACTAATAAATTGTTTGTTGAGATAAGTTGCAAAATAAAGAATAAAATGAATTAAAATGTAACAAATTTGGATAATATATTTTAAAAGAGAAATGTAATGTAGTAATAAAATAATAATAGTAAGAGAAAATAATAATAGTAAAAAAAATAATAATAGAGTATTACCTAAGAATATATAATCGTTTTGTCTACTGATATAAAATCTCGCCATCAAATTATATTGTACATACCAGCTAAAGTTTTGTTGATCGAGATTTTGGTACCATCATCTCGTTTCCAACGAATACTAGGCGTTGGACTTCCGGTCGCTTTGCAGGTGAGACTCACGTTGGCGCCCTCGCGAACGATTGCATCCGACGAGCTCTGCGAATCGTCAATATTTGGTGGCACTATAACAATAAACATAAAGTGTTGTTGTCAACCACTGATAATACAAAATTTATAAATTTACAGGATAGGAAAATGAGACATATAGATAAAAAGCACAGTAATATAAGTAACGTAATTGCGCGAAAAGATTTAAAGTTCCATTAATCATTAAAAATGAAATGTTGAAAAGTAAGCAGAAACGGTATTTTTGTAATACATACATGAATAAAGAGACACATACAAGTACGTATTACAATATGATTCACATGGACATATATACTTGTTTAATAAATTCATCGCTCTCTCTTCCCTGTATATAATATAATTATGTTACGGAAACTCGCTTTTTGATTGCATAAAGAGATAAAATGTATAAATCAGAACCACAGTGCAGTGATCGATTATTGATAACTCTTTAATTGTGCTACGACAGCGATATCATTGCGCATTTCACATTTGTGTATATTTACCACGTCGTCACTGCTCTTGAATTAAACAACTAACCACGTGTGCGTGCGTGCGCGAGAGGTGTATAATTCAATTATAGTGTCGTCGTGGTAACGAATGATATTAGTATATGGACATACGTCGTCTGCACATCGACGTTGATCAACCTGGAAATGCAAGTAGCTAGGATTGGTTGACATGTTTAAATGGACAAATATCGCGCTGCTTATATGCGACTGTGACACATCCAAATTACTCATCCTTTCGTATACTAATTAATCAATCAATTTATGACAATCGGCATATTAATGAAAAATATATACGTCGCTTCAATGTCTTTAACATTTTTGATTGTCAATATAAGACGATATATTATTTAATGATATTTGCAGTTTTTACATGATTTCATATATTTCGTGTAAATAAAATAAATTTCAAAAAATTTTGTTAGATAAGAAGAACTTTATACTTATCATATTATAAATAATTCTTCTTGATTATAATCCCGATAAATAATTTATCTCGTATTGTAATATGGACAAACAAATATATACATACGTCAATATTAAAAAAAAAATGTTGATTATATTAACGAAATAATTAATGCAATATAACGCATTGTCAAATTTAATCGTATTGTATTGCAGTAATATTTTTTTCATTCAAATTACCATTTAAGAATAGGTCCGCTCTTGAGTACAAAAGAGACGTCAAAGAAATCTAGGACGACGTAGAATTATAATAAAATTATGAAATCTCAAACAAGCAAAAAGAAGCTTTCTCTCGTTAAATTTAAAACTCAAAGTGCAATGCCTGTAAGAATGCAACCATGCGAGCGAAACAAAAAAATAAGGCTTAAAATAAAAAAGCCGCAGTGGATGATAATATTCACTAATAATAAGACCGTTTTATATGTGCAAAGTTAACTTTAAAATAGCATTAACTTTGCACATATAAGAGAAATTATTTATATCGTGACATACTAATTCCTCTATTCGTATCTTTCAATCTCTAATGCCGAGAATTTGAAATATTTTATATTACACTCTGTCTTTAGATAATGCGAATTAGATCTCTGAAATAATTCATAATTAATTCATAATCATAAATAATTTTTACAAACGATTTAATGTATATTGCAATAAAATATATATCCAGAGAGAGAGAGAGAGAGAGAGAGAGAAGAGGAAATTAAAAGTTATTACAACGAGCTATTTCTGAATATATGAGATAAAAAAGATATTATTTTTTTATATAACTTTTACATAACAATACTTTATATAACTTCATACATATAAATGAAAATAGTACAACTGAATAGCCGCTTTGCCCTAACTTCAATAATGGAAATTAATTCGAGTAGAATATTGCAAGTACATCCGCATATATCTCGATACAATACGTTTTTCCCGTATTGTTCTTTTCATGTTTTTTTTTTCATATCATTATAAAGAAAATTTTCATATTGTTCAATATATGTATATATGATTTGCATTGTTATAACAATCAATTGAATAAAATAAAGTAGCACAATAATTTTTAAGCAACATCAATTTTTCTTTCCTATAAAAATTTGTTGTATGTAACATATCAATAAATGCTGTAAAATATGTGAAATTACATAAATAATGTGTAAAAAATACACAATTTGTAGTGGAACGCATAACAAGTTAGTACTTTATCTTTAATTGTATAAACATAATACCTTTATATAAGACGAAAAATTACATAAATTATATAAATAACAATATATTTTATAGTTTTTATATGTAAATGTATAAATTTTTGTTTTAATATAATTTTATTTTAATATTATATAACATAACAATAATATCACACATATTATATTTGCATTTTTATATTCGTACATCTTGATAACGTAACGAGAAAAATTGTACATAATTCATTAGCGAATTATTACGTGTAAAAATATTTTTACAAACTCAACTTTATAATCGTAAATTTATTGTTACAAATTACTACAACAAGAATTCTGTAAGTTGTAACTTTATTTATATATGTGAGTAAATATACATCTTTATACAAGTTTGAAAATTATCCTCTAAAATTGTTGTAATTCTTCGTAAAATTTTTTTATAGTGCAGAAGTGACTGTTATCTCTAGAAAACGTTTGATACTTTATATCATATAATTCTTATAACCGATCTTCGAACGAAAAGAAAATGCGCCTTTTTGTCTGCCAACAGCCGCGTGGTCACCGCGTAGGGAATGAGGAAACGCGGCCAATCCTATGAATTACCGCAGGTGTCCGCCGATATCCTGCATTAATGCTAATGTGGGGTGTTACCGAATTGTTGAACAAGGGCAGATTGAACGCGCGCGAGAGAGGTGCGGTCTGCCCTCACTCTCGCCATTCTGCACACCGTTATACTGCAGCCGCGTAACGGTCTGTTGATGCATTATTCAAGCGCAAACGCCGCCTCTATCGCGCGCGTGTTGCCGCGCTGTTGTGCGTTAACTTGTCCTAAACTCCGGCAGCACAACGTTCGGGAGACGTCGGAGGAGAGATCGCTCGACGATGCTCACAGAACTCGGGAGTCTTGAGAGTAAACGCGCGGGCAACCATCCTGACATTTCGAACGTGCACAAAAATATGCGTTATGTGTATCACGCATTTAAATATCCAAATATTGACAATTCTAAACAGAACCCGCCGTTTTTTCAACGATTTATCAGCATCTCTTTAGCAAAACAAAACTGTTCTTTCTTTCGGAAAAAAATACGAAGCTGATCTCGATTTTTCAATTTTTTTAAATAAGCAACACAAATCTATAATTGATAAAAATATTCATTATTTCAATAACAGACTATACTGATAAAATTGATAACAATAAAGATTTTAAATATATATTGGAAAATCACAGGATTGAAAAACAATTTGTTTTCGTGATGCAAAAAGATGTACATATGTAATTACGTTTAATAAATTGAAAAAATACGTTGTATTATTGTTATAATCCTAAAACGTTGTTTTGTTCTACTGGAATATTGTGATTAACATTCAAAAGACAGAATTATTCTGGGATGATTATTGAGCTTCACCGTGAATGAAGTCATTGTAAGCTGTAGATTGCTAATTATAGCATACCCTTAGGGAACCTAATGCCATGTTCATATCGTATCGTACAATATACAATATGATACGCCTCTTGACTGATGTAAGCCGCATAGTTTATGCGCTTCATAACTTCATTTACGGAGAATATAGAACAAGATTTAACTACAAAGTATACATTTGCAATCAAGAAATATGTTGTTCTTATAAATAATTGTGTAATAAATATTATAATTTTGATAATAAGTTATATAATTCGAAGCATTCCTAAGAATATAACAAAATTTTAAAGAAAACTTATTTTTAAATATTTAATTTAAAAAATGGAAAAATTATATTAAAAATAATTTGTATAAATTTACATGTATTATCTTATTGATGTAACATAAAAAATAAAGAAATGTTCAGCAGCTGTCAAAAACACGGTGATACATTGAATATTTCCTTTCCAATTCTGTTTTTCAATTTTAAAGCTTCTTTGACTTTTATTTCATTTAGAAGCGAGCTACTAATTAAGTCTGAGCTTTTGCTTTATTTATAGAGAAGTGATGAGCAACCACACATGATCGACAGATCGAGAAATCAGAAAAGAGATTTAATAATTAAATAGACAGAAACAAGAGACGTATAATATCCGATATATTTATCTGAAGTTAGCGAACGCTTTCTGTGACAAGAGATATCGATATATTTTAACGGCAGTATTTTTACAGACATTTGAATGACGTGCGATCAAACGCGAAACTTTTTTCAGGTCAATTCTTCTCTATTGTTATAAGATTTACAAACATATATTAAAATTTGACATGGGGTTAAAATCTCATTTTCAAAAAATGTTTCGGGTTTCTTTTTGTCATAAAAAATAAAAAGTTATACTCTAAATCTCTGCAAACTTATTTTGTAGTAAAGATAGTGCTGATGATAATTAATCGTTATCCTCAATAAAGTTGATGAATAAATGAATTCTACTTTTCTTCCAAAAAGGAATTGTTTAATCGGCTAACCATTCCGCAAAATGAACCGAGGGATTATCTTGTGTGGCAAATGTGGAGACAGATACCTATAAGTAATACCTAAATACATTGACGGAAGCTTGTTATGCGCGATGTAGCCATGGCAGATCGCCATTGTGTCGGCTCCATCGGCATTATCACGAAGTGTCGAGAGAGTACCGCAAGGAGATCTTGCGTGTGTTTGTGCAACGGAGAGCAAGAGTCCCGTGGAAACAATTAATCTAGCCCTCTGATTACTCCACACCAACGCATCCGTCCCCTCCCCCCTCCCCCATACTACGGTATCATTGCTCTCGCTTCAACGGTAGCTGCAGCTGAGACGTCAAAACTCGAGATATTAATATGTTCTCCCGGCAGGCAGAGAGATGGCGACCATCTCGAGATCTTATTGATATTCTCCTTCTACTGATTAAATTATTATAGCTCTGTTACACTTTTACATGCAAAATTAGCGGGAAGGGGATACTTTCGCTCTCTAAACATAAATCTGTTTAGACGGCTGCGATAAAATGCTTATGCTCTGTTGCAAACTTCGTGACTCCGGTAAACTGACTCCATTACGCGAAATGAGATTTATTCCGAGTATCTAATGGATTCACAGTACGATACGATAAAGTCGTAAATAACAATCGACCGTGGCATGTTCTCTGCTAATGGCGCCACAGAATTAACGTAAAACGAATTGAAATAGTACTTTTTTCGAAAATGATGAAATACAATAAGATGTACTATAGCAAGAAAACGAAATTATAGATCATCATTGTTCGCTAATAGATATAATTATCTTTTATAAATACATTTATTATATATATATAATAAATTTTATAAATATACATATATATGGAAAGTATATAGGGGAAATTATGAACAAAGAAAAAACACAAACGATACTATTGCAATATTATATTGGTATTAGAGTAGTGATAACCTCTCATTTCTCGCATCCAATGATAGTCCGATATACATTTAATATCGTACTACAATACGTGAACATAGAATGCACACGCTGTTTAAGGTAAATACCATTACGTTTTCGATGGTTTTGATATAGGAGAATGGGAAAATTACAAATATATCTAAAGGAAATAAAGCCAACGATTATTTATCAATTATAGAAACCTTTATTTCAAAGGGCGTTGGTTTTAAATTACAGTGATTAACATTTATATATTATTAATATAAACTATAACTTTAAACAAAACACAAAACCAATTTGGCACTGTCCCGTGTATAGTGACGCTGGATTTTGTTTCAAATTATAGTTTATATATTGTTAATATGTATATGAATGTTAATTATTGCAGTTTAAAATCAAATAATAACAGGAATATTTTTTTAGTAAAAACTATTAATTAATAATTTTGTCGGCTATATTCAGTTTTTTCCCTTAGTGTTCGCAGTTCTCTCAATCTGCACTATCTAAATGAAATAGGATTCTAATATTAGAAAAAAATCAATTTTTTGATAAAAAATAGAGCTATAATTTACTGCTAATTTAAAATTTGGTATTTAAAGGGATAAGTTATTAAATTTTAATGGTTCTCTATCCTACATCCATTAATATATTCTATTCTTAAAATTATCTTTAGCAGATATGTTAAATATATGTTATACAGATATATGTTAAATATATAGTGTCATAAATTTAATAATATCTAAAGAAATGTAATTCAATTACGATATAATAATATCCTTTTCTGATAATTGAGAATTATTATTATTTTAATTTTATAAATTCAGAAACAAAGAGAGAGTATCTTTTAATATTATTATTAATCCGCGAAATGTATTTTTAATTTTTTATTTTTAAATTAGTAATTATATTGGTATTAACATTAGAAGCAATATCAAAGTATATTATTCTGGTATCAAAACGACTAATACAACTAAAAGATATATCTAAGTTTACAAACTTATTCTGTATGTCTAAGCGACATCGAAATATAACTGTTTTTTTAAATGATAATTTTACGAAAATATTAAATACAGTGATGTAACTTTTGAAAGCAATTTTTAACATTATATAAAAATCGATATATCACGTAAGCAGAGCGCCTTACCTACGACGTGTAGATAGCCATATTGCGTTTTGGCGGCAGCAGTGTTAATCTGGCACATGTACTTTCCCTTGTCCTCCTCGTGCACGTCGTTGATATGTAGGAACCAGGTCCTGTGCTTATCGTGCGACACGGATATTCTGGGGTTCCTGGTAATAACGTGATTCTGTACCGTCAGAATAGCGCTCTTGTCGAAAAGCATCCAGGCCACCTGAAACGAGATGGATATCACATTATACATCGTATAAACGCAGCTCGTATATCGATTACTACAAAGTTACTGTCCGTTCTCATAACGATATTTCACAATATCATTCCCATTAAAAATTATATATGTATTTCATAAAACGCGTTATTTTCTGCCTTGTTTTCTCGTTAACGTTAAGATTTTGAATAAAAAGATTCCTCACCACAGGAACGGTAGATTACAAGGGTAAATATATATCTTTTCAGTTTTTAGTTGCGCCAAAATGCAAGGAGGATATGGAGAAAGAATAAAGATATATAGTAACGATATAAAGGAAGGAAAAGAATAAGGAAATATAGGAATGAGATTCGCGAACGAGACGGATGATCAATGATGCTTTCAAGTATGGAGTGATCTACAAACCTACTATGGTTATAGATATTCACCAGTGGGATAAATCGCTCCGGGATTTCGAGGGCATATGTACTAACGTGCAATGTATATGTATACGTATATGGCGCGTTGTGATATGCGCTTGATGTTTTATACGAGCAAAGTTTTCCGAGAGCACGCGATGACGCTGTGTACAGACGAGTAAAAACTGGTCCCCGTAGAGACAACCCGACCATTTCTCTCGTTAAATGACCGCTTATTGAGAATCCGGATGGTTGTATTCTGCATAGCTCGTTGAATAGCATCGATTGTTATTGTCACTCGAAATATGTAAGTTTTCCATCCTCTTCGAGGTAGGGAAATAGAATAAGAAAACCAGAGATAAGTAGAAAGTATCGCGACAACGGGATACGGAAGTGCTCTGAGATATTTAGCCGATTTTCCTATTCACGTCGAAGAAAGTGAAGGCCGAAGAAAGGTAACAAAGAGAAACGAGGGGAGGTAGAGAATAAAGAGAATTCTGATCTCTCATTCGCTCGCTGCGAAAAGTCCCTGGAGAAATAAGAAGGGCAGCGAGTTCTTTCGCTCGAGCACGAAGAACGTTGCACTTCAACACAGCCCGCTCCTTTTCACAATGTGCAAATGCGCTGTTGTACAGACAGGCTATATTGCGCCATCGTGATAACTCTCGGCGTCGCGACGCTAACCCGTAATGTTCGCGAGAAACTTGTCAGAGAGGCGCGCGAAGAGATAAAAAGAATAGCTTATTATAATTTATCATAAAAATCACAATTGTATTGTAATAATACATAATTATATTACAATTTTATAATATTATTTACGAGAAGGGTAAAAGATAAGACAGATTTTCGAAATGCGCAACTTAACGAGAGATGCAAGAGGATTCAAAGTCTTCACGATAAAATCAGATGTAAGGTAGACGTATCAGTTAGTGGACATGATCCAATTATTGAACGAAATGACAAAAATTTTCAATATTAAGCTTTTAATAATATATATAACTCAAAAAATAAATTCGTCTTATTAAACTTATATAAATGAATTTATTTAGAGTCATACATATCATTAAAAGCCTAATATTTAAAGTTTTTATCATTTCACCCAACAATTGGGTCAAGCCCAATAATTGTCCACCAACTAATACATTTACCTTACTTAAGTGAATTTACCTTTTACAATCGATTAATGTAATAGAGAAACGAAGTACTTCTACGATCATAAATCACAACAAGCGTAACTATTCGCTTCTGACTTGAAACTAAGATCGTTTCGCAGTCGTTTCTCGCGTCTTCCGACCGTAACCGAATTTTCGTCCACCATTTATCCAGTCGCTCTTACACCGGCGGCTGTCGGCGGTTATCTTCGCAGAGATATACGAATCTCGACGGGGATTCCCGGCGTCGCGTCGGTGGGATTGCATAGATACTGAAAAACGCAGTTGACACTTTCATCATTTGCCTTTCCGCGACAACATATCAATTGTTCGAATTTCATGGTGACAGCCTTGCGTTACGATTTACATACAATTCTTTTTTTAAATGTTATTTTTTATTCCAGTTTGTCGAATATATTAAAATATAATTTTTCTAGACGTAACTTTTTTCGTCATATTGAGATAAAAATGTACTGAATTTATAAAATTTAACTTTATTTTACAAACAACCACATTAAAAATAAAACAAAATCGTCTGTTTTGCACATGAATTATGCGTTTAATTGAAATAGTCCTCTCACACGGTTATAAGTTGACTTGTGGTATATTTCGCTATAAATTAAATACGTTCACTTCATTAGAAAAATTTATTGAAGATAAAGCAGAAATTGTTAAATGATGCGATACTTTTCGTACATTTTAAAAGAGTTTTCTCAACTTCGTAACATTCTTTCAAAAATTCTTGGAGAAGATCCAAATAAAATGAGTTATATAAGGTTGGGCACCTATGTTCTTTACAGAACAATAAGGGTCCTTAGCTTCGTTTGATCTTTTTCATTGGCATACGGATAATCGAAGGAAATACTATTGTATTCTCTATTTCCTTTGATTGTCACTGCTTGCTTTGTAACAGCAAGCGTTGAACCTGTTTCTTCTCGAGGTTCTTATTGCATCGAATAAACACAAAAAGAAAAAGAAAAACAAGAAAAATATTACAGTACGCAATCAGTTGTAAGACAGAGGAGCCCATTATTAAAAGCGTAATTCTCAACGGCACCGACGCAATCTCCATGCAATGAGAAACCAATTTCTACCTTTTATCTGCTTCGTCACTTCACGGCGACCTCGACGATCCGTTCGCAACGATGTAAAATTGGTATTTCGTAAAGTTTAAGACGCGGTACGAAGGTGACAAGAAGAGCTACGCGGAAAGCAAATTCGAGTGACCATCTTTCCGACTTGCAGCTCGCTTTCCAACGCATCAACATGCAAGCCACACCAAAACTAAGATGGATGCGCGGGCGCGCGAGGGGGGTTTGCTCTAGGAGTTTGTTCCCCCAAGAGCCGTGGCACGAAGCATTGATTCCTCAGCGTGAGAGGAGAGTTACAGCTTTGTTTACTACGAGGGCGACGAGCTCAGCGCCGTCCAGTCTGGCTTGGCGCTGGCTATGCTGTCGGTATCTTCTTTTCTACAACGTTCTCCTTTTCTATTTCTCTCTTTCCACGACTGGTTCGTGACTCCCTTTCCTCCTCCTTACCCACCCCTTGGAACGTCTGGACCGGGAGACCTATAGTTAACGTCAAGATCAACTCTCTTCGTCCTTCCCAACGTTCTTCTTCCACGCGAGTACTCCATGGTCCCCGCGTACGCAAACACATTCACTAGGCGGTTTATACGGAACCATGGAAAGCGAAAGAGCAGCGTGGCTGTCGGTTGAGCCAACCGTCTCGCATACCCCTTCCCATCGTCTCCCAACCCCTTGGCCATTGTGTATGTGGAAAGTTGGACCACATTCCGGCTGAATGTATTACAACCACTTAACCCGCAAGCTGTCGAGACCTTCAGACCGGTGAATCCATGCAGCGTATGAACCTCTACTGAGGCTGATAGTTCGCTTAATAGGCACATTAAGCGCGCTGATGGTTAGCTCCGGTTAAGCGATTATATAAGTGATACTTTTTACGTAGAGATACGGATTGATGAAAAAAGTTTTTTTCAAATCTATTAAATACAATTTAAAACAAAATTGCGACACAATCAGAGTGCAATTGTTACTGTTGACTTGAATATATTTTTATTTTTGCTTGAAGACTATTTTTTAATTGCCTTTTTAAAAAGTTCTCTGAATATTTTTAAACAATATTAAGTGAGAATCGATCGACGAGATTTCGAGTTTAAGCAAATTGTGCACCGATTATTTGCCGGTCTTAAAATACAGTTCTAAACTAAAGATAGAGTAGTATCGCAAATTAAACAATTTGATAAGCAATTTAATATTATTGTGACGCAAATAATAAATATTCGGGTTCCAATCCTAGCTGAAGTAATATTCTTCGCAATAAATTATTTATAGTTTTTAAGATGCTTATTAGCCTCAAATTATTAACAACTTTCTAAGATGCTTATTTGCATCAATAATATTAAATAGCTTGTAAATTTAATTTGTGATATTACTACTCCAGTTTTGGTTTAATACTGTATTTCAAGACCGATAAATAATCGAAGCATAGTTTGGTCGAACTGAAAATTATATAAACTTATAAGAAATATTATTAGGCACTTTTACTTATAGGAGTACTTCTAAATTTATGCAAATAGTATCTTAATATTATCTACAATTTATATTCACGCGAGATATTTATGAATTTACACAGAATTAATCGAGAAAAATAAGCTTTCCTATCGAGACCTTGTTTTTTCTTTTCTGTTAAATTCTATTAAAATAGAGCAAAGTCATTGGATAATGTCATCATTAACATTTTAAATACTGGCATCGTATTACAGACATTCTATTTTTTCGCGTACATAAATATAGTTGTTTGGATATCCGAATAAAAATATAACGTGTAAAACGGCGAGAAAAGTCGGTTAAGTCAGTTAAGTTCGCCGAACTTTCGTTGTACTTCTCTGTATAAAATTGGATCAGATTGGCACTCAAACTGTCGAAAATTCAGACCGTACGACCATGTTCTTCCCCCTGCAGCTCGGTTCAACAAATTGACCGCGATAAATTGTCTCCCGACACGCCATCGTTTTGTGTCGGAATTAGATTTTCTTCGAGTTTCGTTTACATGATAACAACGTTGCCAGGTAGATGCATTTTATTCACGTAAAATCTGGATCTCTTGATCTGTTAAATTAATGGACGGAAAAGTAACAGTAAGGTATGCCAATTTGCAAAGCTTCTTCATTAGTAGACCCTTCTTACTTCACGCTCATACCATACCATACCATACCAAGCACGAACTTAGGATACCTTATAGATAAATGTATTAGGACCACTTATCCCACAAGCTGTCGGGTGCTTCGAGGTTGTAGACAACCTCTTAATTATCATAGAGCACTAAGCCATTGCACAGGCCGGAAGTACGAGAGTACTACCGTGAGTACTAAGAGCACCTGGAAACTTCGTGTCAAAGACTGTAAATAGGTGAGATTATCTTACGTCGCGCGAAA